TATATATAATGCATAATAAGTAATATGAAATATACAGTATATATGATACATAATACATATATACATAATAAATAATATATAATATGCAATATGTTATAAAGTATACAATGTATAATATATATGTGGGATATATGGTGAGTATAGAATATAGAGTAGAAACACTCTTACTTTTATTATTTGGTATTCTCACTAATGCAGCTACCTGTCAGGTAGCACATTATTACAAGAGCTCTCTCTCAGGTACTGGATTTTAATGTAACAGGAACCCTTGAACTATCACAGCAAGGAAGTTGGACAAGACTGGAATTTGGATGCAAAAGTAATATTTGGCTGACAAATATATTGGTCTTATTGTATCAGGCTGACAAGTACTACCCGTACATTATTAAAACTCTGTGAATATTCCAATTTCACTGGCTTAGTGAAGAACTATTTAAAGTCAAGAACCAACACTTGAGGAAGGTTTCCGAGAGCACTTTTCAGTATCTTCAAATTAAGTCAAGGAATGTATGTTCAGAAGTTAAATTTCTTGGAGAGTTCTCTGTGTGAACATTACAATGATTACTGTTAAGACCCTACAGAGTATATAATCTCAGGGATAACTAGGTTTGTAGACAAAAGGAAAATTATACTTATTAGCGAAGACAAAAGTGTATTTTTTTTTTCAGTTATGAATAAGCTAAAGAAGCTTCTGGGTCAAAATGCAAATTTTGAAACACTTTAGAGGAATTGTTAGGATACAGTAAACAAATGGGAGAAGACTGTGTAGTCTGAGTACATTCCATAGAAGCTTAAGTTTAGATACATGAGCATCAAATGTTTGTGTTTCGTGTAACAAAAATTTTCCCCTATCTCATGTATACGTGGGGCCAAGATGCCAGAATATAACTTAGAATACACCCCGTTTGCACTACTAAAGGAATTCTGAGGGGCATCTAGAAATTGCTTGTAGAAGAAGAATAACAGTACCACTTAGAAAAAATGCATGCCAGTTTGAGGAGCCAAGATGTTCAAGAAGTAAAATAGATAAGTAGTACTAATCATAGCCTTCCAGACTTAAGGCTTGCAGATTTCATCCTGACCTGAGTAGTAAGAACGAGGGAGAACTTTCCCCAAATTACTGCTGAGATACAGTACTGGTGTGTGATCAGAAATAAAGCTCTTGGAATGTTATGTTCTCTGGACCAACATCTTTGTCGAAAATTTTAGAGTATTACATACAGACCTTAAATATCATCTACTTCCAACTCCCTGCCATGGGCAGGGACACCTTCCACTAGACAAGGTTGCTCAAAACCCTGTCTAACCTGGCCTTGAACACTGTCAGGGATGGGGCATCCACGATTCTCTGTGCAACCTGTTCCAGTCTCACCACCCTCATAGTGAAGAATTTCTTCCTGATGTTCTATCTAAATCTCTCCTCTGTCAGCTTAAAGCCCCTTCTCCTGTCACTACATGCTTAAAATAAAGCACCCCAAAAGTTTTCACTACCGGTATTTGTTTCCCTAGTAACTAGCATTCTGCCTGCAACTCTAATAGAACAATATATAGGAGACTTCAAGGAAAAAAATTCTATCTGAGCTTTCAGAGAGATTAAGCATGTCAGTCATATTACTTGTGTAAAGGGATCACTCGAAATGCTATCCTTGAGTCTTGATCTGCACTTTGAAGTGATAACAGCAGCAACAGCAGCAATAATAAGCTTACTTATGAAGCAAATGCCTTATTTTGCAGGCTCTCAGGGGACCACGCAACAACATAAATTGTATCATAATTAAAAACCAGCACTATTTAGTCAGGAGAGTTCTATTTCTAATATCAGAGTGCATGCAATATCTCAGTTTTAGAAAAACTGACATGAGACAACACCACCTAATATTGTCTCTTTTTAAACAGTATGATCTCATTCCTATAGAAAGGCAAGGCTTGTGTCTTCTGGACAGAAAAAAAACCAGCTAATGCACAAGCACATGAATAAGCCATATCCTTAATACAATTCAAATATTTACATTAAACTTACATATATTTTTAAAAGTATATTACTAGTTGATATACACCAGACAAGTCTGAAAGATTCAGCAAAATCCACCGGTGTGTACTTAAAATGCAATCAAAATCTTTGATGTGCTCTGAAATTTGTGGAATTCTGTTTCTATAAAAGTTATTTTCCAGATGCCTGATGCCTATGGTTTGTGTTCAGTGTTGATACTGACCAGCATCAGACCCTGGAGAGCAACACTCAGTAAGTCTAACTCATTCATTCCACATATAACATGAACACCAGTCTTGGTAACTTGTGGCAGTTATCAGCTAAGAATACACTGCACAAATAATTAAACTATTACATTAAGTTGCTCATAATTCAGAAGTCACTCCACCAAACCTTTCTGATCCTATTTTTTGAAAACAAACAGTAACATACTTCCTTCTTCCTCCTTAATTCCCTCTCCATCCTCTATGCTCAATATAAGGAAGAGTATCTTTCATTATGTTTTACTGGGAGGAATAATAGCATTTGAGATCAGTCTCCTGTCTCAAAATTTTGTAGGTGTCTATTTTCTCTGTCTTATGGACATGCTTGATTCCTTCAACTGTCTGGACTAAGTAGTGATAGTAGTAACAATCGTAATAGTAACAATACAAAAAAAAACCCACAAAACCAAAAAAACCCAAACCAGCCAACCAAAAAACAAAAACCCAACCAACCAACCAAAAAAAAAAAAACCAATGCCCCTCCACCTCTGCGCAAAAAAAAAAAAAAAAAATAAAAAGAAGAAACCAAAACACCAGAAAAATCATTAAGAATAAGCTTCTGTATCAGAAATGATGAATAATTCCTAAAGATATGGGTACTGGTGTTATTTCAAATTCATGGGACTAAATTCATTCAACTAGTGAACAAATCTATTCTATACATATTCATGATGACCTTGTCAGACAGCGGTCATATCAGTATCAACTTCTGAGTTAAGTAGCACAGTTTTTGGAATAAAAGGCTAGCTCTTTAGGGCAGTAAGTGAGTCTTTTCTGCTTGGCTGTACAGTAGAGGACATTTAGTGAATTTTTGTTATGTAAATACATGGCAACTGTACCGAATAAATTTACCATTCTTCCACGCTGCACACAAAATTTATCTAAGAACTCACTCTTTGGAATCTGAGAACAGTTAATATAATGCTGTTAACATAGTGCAACAGATAAAACCAAACATACTTGTAATAGGACTGTTATTTTCATCTCCTGGTATCCATGAGAGTTCAACGCTTCTTTCTAGCTGACCTGTCAATTCCAAGTCAAAGGGTGGATTTGGCCGAGCTGTAAATCAAATGAAGAGAAAGTAAATAATCACACCAGAATAGATACTCAGTTTCATCTTACATTACAATAAAAAGAATTTCACAAATACGGCAGGGCAGATCTATTTGCTTACGTAAGCACAGTTTAATGGCCATTAGCATGCAATAATTACAAAACAGAGATAAAATGGAGAACTGATGTACCTGGAAACTCCTAGACATTAACAAGAATCTGTATTTGATTTTGAATACATCTGATTGCACTGTGATATAAAAATGTAATGAGATGCAAAGATTTATGAAATGCATGTTTAGTTTATCTTTAAATGATTATGGGTGGTAATCTATTGCAAGTAGAAGTATTTAATAAAAATTTGAAAATAAGGAAGCATTCACATCAAAGAAGCTTTGCTAGAGTCACTACAAATATTTTACATGTGAATTCAAAACAAGTATAGTTCAAATAAAAACTAATTGCAAGTTAGTCTTTTTTTTTTTTGCTGTACTTTTGATAAATCCTGAAATACTATTCAAGCTGTTAATACACATCCTTATAGGATATAAAGTCGTAATTGTCTATTCTAAATTGCTGAAAATAATTAACTATATGACTTGTTGCCAAAAAATCAAGACTAATGAGTAGGTTTATTTAAGAATACATAAGCATTTTCACTGAATGCAATAGGATTTATATAAAAGTGCTTAAAACACTCAAAAGTATTTCGACATATTATATTGCATTTTAAAACCCTAATTCAGGAAAAAAAAAACCAAATTAAAGGCTGTATACTGTCAAATTTAAGACTGTATCTGACTGAAAGATTTTTGGGTTGATTTCAGCTTTAATTTAAAAATCCTTATTAGCAATTTCATCAATCATAAACCAAACTGGTCAATATGGTCCTATCCATTTTATGAGTGAAGTAAAATGAAGACAAATTATGAAATAAAGCACAATAGACCTACAAAGCTGCCATCAGAAGTGGAATCAAAGTAAAAACATACCATAATTTGGCTGGTACAAGTTCTTTGATAGTGAATTAAATTTCAATGAACAGTTGGATTTACCTTTTGGATCTTTCATTTATTATATAAGTAAACTGCATTACAGTGTACTCTGTTGAGAAAATCATCATCACACTGTAACAAACCTTAGTTAAAAATAATTTACCTCTCAAAAACGTTAATTCCCTAAAATAGAACGCAGCCTGCATAGTAAAATTCCAAAGTCCAGTACCCCAGTAATGAAGCAGTTGGTAAAATGGGATGAAACCACACACACAAAAAACAGGAAAAAGGGAAAAAAAAGATGCTGTGCTTTATAAGAGGCAAATGAGAAATATGTCTGACAGATGACATTGAAAGAGAACTTTGTATTAGTTTACCGTAAATGATAGCTGGAGTTGGGGGAGCAGCTGAAAAGAACATTAATATAAAGGATTTAATAAGTTAGTAGCCGAAGTAACAGAATACTGTAGGTAGTTAAAGACTATAATTATTAGAGACAAATAAAAGTTAATTTATTTAAAGTAAATGGTTGGTTTTAAAAAATGTTGATAATTTTTCATTGAAAAGTTATAAAAACATCCTTCAATGTTTCAGCCATTTTTAAAATAAGGATAGATTTAAAAAATAAATAAAGTAAGCAGTCTTATAAAAACTACTAAATAAGTACTAGACATTTGATGAATGAGATACAATAGTATATCATTCCTGCACAGGCATAAGATCACAGCACAACTTTAAAACACAAGCATACTTGACTTTGAATCTTAGCTTGAACTCAGGTAAGAATGATTCAGAACATTTACTTAAAACTTTCTCACAGATTGGGAGAAGAGGCAAAGAATGTATTTTGCAACAATCTGCAATCATAGAAACTTAACAGAGAGAACTTCTTTAAAAAGAAAATACTTGAAAAAAAATCATACAACCAAGCATGCTCAGCCTTTCTGAAGCATAATATAGCTGCAAAAGAGATTCCTGACTTAAAATGCTTATGTTCAAATACTCTGCAATATATAATCTACTGTGTTAGCTCAGATGTGATCCAAATAGAAACCTATACAGCATGAAACTAAATGTGTCCTGTAGTTACTGGACTCCTTCGAAAACAGCTGATTAAAAGGCAAACTTTAGGTTAAGACTATATTTTTAAAACACTGAAACACATTTACAAACAGGTGACACTTCCTTTATCCTGTTCTAGAAACCAAAATTTGTGCTTTTCATTTTAAATCTAATGCTGTTTTCATACTTAACAGTAATTAAACACAGTCCTGCTATCATAAAGTTTGAGAGTATTCTTACCAACAACAGTGAGCACAGCACTTGCTGAAACACTGTCCAGAGTAGTATTAACTATGCAAGTGTATGTTCCATCATCTTTATCAGTTACATTCATAATGGTCAAGTTGTCTTTACCAACTAGAAACCTGTAAATACAACAGATTCAGCCACTGATATTTCAATTACTGGTACTGTTATAAGAAGCTTGCATAAGACATTACCAAATCCCATGTACTTGCGTATTCAGCAAATATCTAGATGGCAATGTAAGCTACAGAACTACCTCAGCCTTTTCTACATTGCTTTTGAACATCTTCCCACAGTAACTGTCTATCTTCATGTAGTTTTATTTCCAAATATACTCAAATAGCTTCTAGTTACCTGAGATCTAGAGGAAAATTGTTTTCCATTATCTCTTTGGCTTCTTACACCAGTTATCTTCTCCTCACAATTGATATACACGGTCAATGTACACAAATAAAAATTTTTACATCTCATTTTTTTTTAATTCTATCTTAATATTTTTACCATGATAGGTAAGTCCTTTAGTCACTAAATACAAGATAGTGATGATATTATCAGTCTTCTTTGGAAAATGTCAGTAGGTCAATATGTTCCTTTGAAAGATCAGGAAAAGGAGCAGACAAAAGAAACTAAAAGAAAATTATTTGTCCATACCTTTCATCATCTGGCAGCTCATCATTGTCCTTCAACCATATAACAGTTGGTAATAAGGTAGAATCATGCTTTATTATACACTCAAATGAAACTTGGCCATATCTCTGAATCACTTTGTATTCTGGCTGTTTAATTATCACTGTTGGATCTGAAATTTAAAATTAGTATTAGATATTTAGAAAGTCTGAAATTCTATGCTAATCTTTGATGAAAGAATGATTCATTTCTTACCTTTAATTTCCAATTGCACGTCATTTTGTATCTTTCCTAATTTATTCCTCGCTACACATGTGTATGTACCAGTACTATCCTTCTGAGCCACCGGAATTTCCAAAGTTCCATTATCATGGAAAATGTATTCACTTCCACGCAAGATGCTACCTTTCACTCCCTTAAACCTTTATATAAAAAGTGGTATCATTATCCAACATCATAGTTAAATTATGCTGTATTTTATTATCAGAAAATGCAAACTGGGGACTGCCACATTAGAATATATAGCTAGAATCACATAATGTAATTTAGACAGAATCACATAATGAATTTTACTTTACTCTTCACGGATAGCTTAACTACGATGTTAAGTATATGTTCAGTATATGTAATATTATGTTAAGTATATGCAATACTATATTAGAATATTATAATCAGCATATATTTAAAAACATGCTTTTAAAATTGTGCATAGACTAAAATTAGTTTTAAAGCTTTAAATGCTTGTTTCCACAGATATAATTGTCTCTTTTTATATAACTTAAGCACAACAACTGTAGCTCACCATTCAATTTCAGGCTTAGGTGAACCAAAATAAGCACAGTCTAGCAATGCAGGACTATCTGCGATGACTTGATACAGTTTATTAGCAGGAGTTAGAATTCTTGGTGGCTCAGCTGAAAAGACAAAGATACAGATACAAATACGCAAATACAAAATACTAAGACATCCAGAATGGCCTAAAGAACTATATGTTATCATCCTCCCTGAGGTGATTTCTGGTCTCAGTCTAGGTCCAGTTACATTCTACTGCCAGTAGCCTGAGGAAATGTTAACGTAGAAGAATTATCTAGTGAAAAACAAATATTTCTTCCCTGTTTACAAGTAATAGGGATGGGCACCAAAGACAATGATTTCAATTGGAAAATTTAAATCAAAACACACTTAAAGAAAAGAAACTCCTGGGAAAAGACTGAACTACATAATTTTGAACAAACCTGCAGCTAGAAAAAAGCTAAAATGTATTTTGGTGAAACACCAAATTAAATATTTTCTTTAATTTAAAAGATAATGTCTCTCAATTAAAACATCTGTCAGTTCCTGCAGGACAGTCTTTAGAGCCCATTCTGCTTAGGATTTTCTACTAGCTTTGTTAAATTCAGTGAGAAGAATTAGAGAGGCCACAATATCTTCTAACTAGAAACATGTTCTTGGGAGGCCTTGAAGAAAAAATACATAATCATGCAACAGCAATTTAGAGATCATCTGTTTAACAGATCCAAAACATTCACGGTCAATGAAACTGTGCTTACACATACTAACTTAAGGAATACTAATTCCTGCTTTATTTGTTATCCTTCTGTTTGCTTGATTTCACAAAATCATAGAATGGTTTGGGTTGGAAGGGATCTATTTAACCTAAATCTCTCCTCTGTCAGCTTAAATCCATTCCCCATTGTCCTATCACTACATGCCCTTACATAAACAAAGATACAAAATTTCTTCCAAGTTTTTTGCAGCTCATGAAATACATCCATTCCCATTGAAGACCTCAAGCAAGGCTTGAGCATGCAGTCCCTGTAGTAACAGGAAAACATCTGAATACCCCAGAAAACTGAAAACTATAAAATGTTTCTTACCCAGAACATTCACAAATGCATTTGCTAGCAAGTATCCATATTCATTAGAAGCATTGCACTGATACACAGCACTTGACCTCTCTTGCACATGTGAGAAAATTATGGTATCACCATCCACCCTTCTGCTAGGATCTTCTGGGGCAACTGTTGGTATAAAGAAAAAAAATAAAAACTGTTTTTCCTAAACTGTTGGGGATGATATGTTACACACTTCTGAAAAGAAAAAATGATTTGAAAGACCCTTCACCCTTTCTTCTATTTTCCTGGGTGACTGTTCACTGGTTAGGATGTGAATTTCAACACAATCAAGGAAGTTCTTCCAATTCTACAAATATTTAATGTAGGATGGTAGAATTCCCATTTCGGGGGGGTGGGGTGGGGTGGGGTGGTGTTTCTTCTTTTCTTTTTCAAAGAAGTGAGGCTGAGAAAATATTTTGCATGTACTACAGAGGAAAATACTCATATGACAAGAGCCAGGCAAATACAGACAATATCTAGGAAAAAAAAGTATTTCTGAACGTCGAAAGAAAATGCTGTTAGAACGACACAGTCCTCTGTGACTTAAAAGATTCAGCATTTCAAATCGATTTTTATACCACAAATAACTCTCCAAATACAAAAAGTGCCTTATTCAGTTGAAAATTATCTTGGAGTAAAGCATAAGCAATTCTTTAAGACAAAATCAAGAAACAATCTTCACAAGAGCAGTGATCGTAGTTCAGTAGGTTTTTTTTCTTTCCCTTATGTAAGAATAGAGAATATCACCGAAAATAAAATTCCAAGATATTACTGAAGAATAATAGCTGTCTGCTACAATACAATTGGATAGAGTTAGGTAAAATGGAGAAAACACTTAGCTTGTAACACCACACTACATAAAAATGCACAAGCTGTAGTTCACTATTTAAAAGAAATACTATATAAAACCAGATTAACATTTTTTAATACTGAAAATTAATTTTAAAATTATTTATATACCAATATGAAAAAGAAATGCATAAAGAAATGCGCCATAGCTTAGTTGCATCATCAAAATTGACACCCTTATGCTTTGTTGGAGCTTGAGAAAATACGTGTATTTGTGCAATACATTTTCATATAAAATCATTTCTCATTTCTTTGGATTCATAGAAAAGAAACGTTCTGTAAAGTGACAAAACCTTTTGATTCAGACAATATCTCAGTACTCATCTGTAAAGAAAACGCAGAAATTTCTACTACATTTTCTCAAATCTACTGAAATATCTATTACTGAATTCTCTAAGAGAGAAGAAACCAGAGGAAGGGGACCACAGATTTGTGCTTGTGCTTACGGGTATTTCACCTTGGGTGAATCCTAAGGACATTTTGCATGTAAAGTAATTACATTAATTTCCAAATAGATGCCTCAAGAACAGTTTTCAACTCCGTGTTTAACCCTTATTTTTCATCACTCTGAGTTCATCTCAATATTACAAATTCAAAAATTTTGGAAAGGTACAGTAAGGTACTACTGGAATTTAAATGCTACGCTATTTGGATAGCTATGCTATACTGGAATTTTAAATGCTATGGACTTCTGGATTGCTGGCATTTATTTTTCTCTTCTTTGGCTTTACTTTCTACTGTGTTCCATGTTTCACATTGCTTCCCATTCTATATAAACGACATTTTCATTAAAAGATTCATGGGCTGAAAATAGACGGAGCAGGTGAGTAGCCCAGCAGGCAGGACAGTCAGCTGTGAGAAGCGGTCTGTTTCTGCATACAAATCACCATTAAATGGAAAATACGCAGGACCACCCTCCCAGGAGGTAGGAGATCTGCCCATGGCCATTCCAATCACCCCTCCTGCCTGCCCCACGCTTGGGGCTCCTCTCCACTTATGCCTTCTGCATCCTGCAGGATTTTCTGCCCACAGATCTTCAATGGGTGCACAGACTCCCACACCCACTCCCATACATAATACCTTACAGAATGACAGTATAGCCCCTTCAGAGAGATGGAAGCCATTAGTGCAGTCCTCTATGACTGAAGAAGGAACTGGATCTTAAAAGAACAATCAAACCATTAAATTATCATAAAAAAAAGGGTAGCTTCTCCCTTCCCACTGCTGTATTTAAGGGAAAAAAGAGATATCCCTCTTCAGTTATTTGAAGGAAAAGAGGTAGGTGCCTGTTCTCTGAGAAGAGCTTTAAGCTGTGGGTCGCAAGAGGGAAAGAAAAAAAACCGAGGAAAGCGTCAGGGTAGTCAGTGCTTCCTTTGGTCTGGCCATTTGCATGCTGAAGGGCACTGGTTTTAGAAAGCTCCCTGTTGAGACTGGCACCTATTCAACAGTCTGTCTTCTGACACGCCGCATCCTCCCACGCAGCACCAGCAGAACAGAACACGTCTTTGCCCATGTACTGCACTGTCTTTTGCAGGGCCAGGCCCTAAAAGTTAGATGTGCTGTCAGCCAGCCGCTTTAACGATCTTAAGTATACACTGCTGCACACACACAAACACACACACAACTGCTGAGGCTGGAAAGGACCTCCGATATGGCACGGCCGCTCAAGTGTTTCTCTGTATATGGATTCTAGTCACATTACAGGATAGGTGCATAAAAAGGAGAAAATTATTTTGACATCTTTGACAAATCTAATTTGCTGCTGATAGGCAAAATGGCAAAGAATTACTTAATACTTAAAATGGGTTTGTACAATTGAGATAATGAATTATGAGGATTTGCTCTAGGACTTCTGCTGCTGTAACAGACAGTTGAACATATGCCCTGTAACAGCCAACATTTCCCCCCAGTAACATTAAGTCTTAGCTTATGAATGTGTTTATGTTCTTTTGGACAAAGACCCGATTGCCTGTTTTCACCTACTTTTGTCTTCTTGACTTCGTAGCCACGTCAGCATATTCCTGAGAATATACCAGAGAAGGTACAAATAATTCACCGGCAAGGAGGTATATACCTTTGATTGTGATTTTGTAATCTGCTATTGTTTAAAAAGGTTAATGTAAAAATCATCATTCCTGAAATCAGAGTTCCTTACATTGTTACCATGTTCTGAAATACAACAGAGTACGAGATCCTGCTCACATAAGAAGTTCTCAGCACTGCTAACTTAAGACTCCAGGTCCCAGAAGGCACTAAACTAAGGTAGTTTTTGTTGCCGGAGAAATATGACATAACCTAAGGTAGTACACATTTTTTTACAGAAGAATGTTGGAGATTATAATCCTAATTTGTAGGGTATGTGAGTACTAACTGTTTCTATTCTATAGTGAAAAGGCTGATGTCATCCTCAGATGATTCCTTCTGGGTGAAAACAAGCTGAAAAAAGGAACGGACAAAATGACTGCTTTTCCCTGTATGAAAGAGAACACGTGCATCTTTGGCATGTTTAAGAGCTAGTCTTACCTAGATCAGTAAAATGTCACAGAAAAACACAATAAAATTGAAGCATAATTAGAAAAAAAGCAGAAATATTCATTACTGTCTTTAGATGCCTGCATCTTCTTTAGCAAGTCAAAGTTATGAATCAAAAGTAATGAGTCCTACTCTGCATGTATTCACAGTGACTACATATGATTGTTGGAAGACAAATGTAGTAATACAAAGTCTGTTGTTTAAGTGTTCTAGTACTCAGTCACTTATTTCTTTAGTAAAGCTGAGCTATCATTTTGCATCAACAGCAGAATATGAGTTTGTCAGAGAAGCTGAGACAATTATTTAGTTTAGATTTTGTGATGGATGCACTTCTATTTGAAATAACTGAACTGTGGTCCAGGCAGATGCACAGCAAGCAGGCCTAATCAAGGTTAATCCTATTGTGTGAGGCTATCAGTGAGGACTCAGTACCAACCCCCCCCCCCAAAAAAAAAAAAAGGTCTGAGAGACTGTTTTGGCGACTGGGCTGATAAGCGGACAAAACTGCATGAATACAGCAGAAAATCTGACTACAAATCAACCACTTCATGTTATAAATATCTGCAGCCATCTGGGCCCATTGAGCTCTCCCTCCATAGCAGCTGACTGCACAACGGTGATCTCCCCTTGAGCAGGGATTCCTCAAGGCTGAGGGATCCCTTGTCTTATAGCAGACACTGATGGATTGATGTGACATTTTTTTCGCATGCATGTAACACTTAAGACACTTATAGCTTATGTGACAATCTTTGTATCTAATACTGACTTTAAATGTAATAAATAGTAGAGCATTGACCACCAATCCATCAGTACTTATTAAATACTTTACGTATCTAAATTTCCTGATTAGAACTCAATAAAGTAGCTCAATTTCCTGATTAGAATTCAATAAAGATCAGACATGTCTACCTGATCTCTGACTCTTCTGCGACAGATTTTTATACTGAATATTTGTTGTAGTTCTATTACTATAATTCCATCCTTAAATTCCTATGCCAGATGCACAGTTCCAACACAATGACAAGCAGAAGCAGAGATTGAACTCCTCGGGGCATCAGAGTCCAGCAAATTTCCCCTCACCCTTCCATGTCTCCGGTGTACTTGTATGTGTACTCACAGAGAACACGACGGATGACGAATCTCTGAGCCAGGGATTATCAAGACCTTTCAAGAAGGAAATCTATGGGCTAATGTTTCTCCTTAAATTCAATGTGATTACTAATGGAGACTAATTAAAACCTAAGATTCAATGTGAAATGTGATATATACATAAACAAGCAAAGAACATGTTGAAAGAAGATAAATAGTGCCTTTCAGTTCAGTACTTTGTATAAATCTGTGTATTTAATATTTAATAGCTCATCATGAACTATGAACCACTGAACCAATAAATTTGTCTTTTGTGCAGTATTTGCAATGCCTTTCTGAGGCCCAATTATGGAAGTGCTTCCCCTTCCCAATTAATCTGGGTTGTTACTTTTCTTAAAGTTGAGATATTTATGCATGGTTTCCCTTCGTAAAACTATGCTGAATATCTAAGCAGTAAAACACAATGGGTTATGCAGAGGTATAAATAATGCAGATCTTGAGCATTAATTGAAGCACAAGGCAAGACAGAGTCATGGCCTGAACTTTCAATTGCTACTTGCCAAAGTAATTCTAATTGACCTCAACGGGACTGTGCATCTGAGTTCAAATTACTCCTGTGAGTAAATAGTAGCAGGTTAGGCCCTTATCACTCCAACATGTCTGAAGCATCTTTCTTTCCAGATATACTGGAGTTTTTCTTTTAAATATTATTGTTGAAGAAAATTAATTAAAATACTTCAAAGAAACTGAAAATCTTCCTTCAGAAATATCTTTTTATTCTGATTAATCTGGAACAAAATGTACGCTATTGCAATAGCAATTTTTTTATAGGTGCTTCAGATACACATTTTTCTTTATTTTTTCTCTTTTCCCTATTGGTATCTAAGCCTCAACCTTTGACTGAGGTATGGACAATGGTTTTCTTCAACACTTCCCCTTCCTTGTCTCACTCTATTATGGAAAAACAAAACTGGAAGAATTAAGCACCTCCCAGTTGTGCTTTCCAACAGAAAATTAAAGTATTGCAAACAGATTACTGGGCCACAGGAGGCACATATGATGACAGCAGGGCTTTGAAATTCAAATGTAGCTCTTTTTCTTTGAAATCCTTCCATGGGTGTAGCTCTATCAGCACTGCCCTGAAGCTGAAACAACCGCTTTAGTTTCCTTTTACAGTAATTTACTAACCATTCAGTTGGAAGAAGAGGGCCTCAATTCTATAATTTAGTAACAAGTGAACAAAAAGGCACACTGTACTTGGTAGTTTCCAGACCAGCTTTTGATAACTCTGAATAACACAAAATCACAAGAATCTTAAGAACTGCGCTTTCTGCAATTGTGATACTTCTTTCTTAGATGTCCTGACAGACTCTTTGTACAGGAACATCCAACCAACTTGCAGTTAAATACTGAAGGTGGATAAAACTTCATCCCTCCTGAGCAGTGAAAGCGGCCTTTAACATAAGGCTGAGCTATCCACTTATTTATTTCCTGTGTTATTTTTATTTTTTCCCCCTACTGAGGTCCAGTGGGTAATTTAATTAAAGTCACTTAATTTTTACTGAGTTCCCTTCAATAAGACTCTGTGTACTGACTCCTTGAGGCCAGCCAGCCAACATATGCTGCCCTCGTATTCGGGAAATTTGGTGGCATCCTGCAGCTGCTTCTGAAAACTTTCTGTTTCTTAATGTTTTACTGCTATCCTGGAAGAATGCAGAACACATTGCTTTTCTGGAAAATGTACCTGTTTGTTTGTCATTTGAATAGCATGTCCTACAGCTTTGACAAGGCAGCAGTGTGAGGCAAAGGTCAATCTCATAGCTGGGTGAAAAAGATTTTACTAGTCAGGAGGCCTGAAAAGAAGAGTTATACTATCAGGACAGCAGGATAAAAATCTCCACAAAACAAACACAAAAAGCTAAAGGTAACAATGTAGAAAATAGTAAGGAAGTTGAGACCATCAAAAACTCAAAAAGGAAAGAGCAAGACAGGTACCAAACTTCAATTATAAGGCAGGCATTGTATATATTTACATACAATGCTTACAGTAGAAAATAAAATCGATATTTTCCTGTAACACCACTGTTTGATGAGGTGGTTAATGTCAGTTTACATAACTTACTTATTTAACCAACTAAATCTCAGTCTGAAGATCTCAACTTTTAATCAGGATTCCTGAAACAGGTTCTTTACTGAATATTTTTATCCATTTCCTTATATACCCTTACTTTTCCCCCGAAGTTGCGCATTTTTCTCTCCAATTCCGTTTAATCTGTCTTGTATCCCAAACATTTTGAATATATCTAATGAGGGTTCTTGATTACCTGTTGCTATCTCTTAGATTCTCACTGTAGAGAATCTTTCTCCATGTCCCAAATTCTGTGGCATTTACTTCATCAACAGACCTAAATATCTCCTGAAACTCCTGAAAGTTACACTGTCATACTTTCAATAGGTCAGCATAGACCAGTATCTTAGAGCACACTATTTCTCACGAGTCAACAGGGTACACTGTTTTTATGATATCATTTTGTGACAGAGGAAGGATAAAGGTAGAAGAACCAAGTGTGATTTTATGGTACAGGCCATGCAGAGTGCAAACCCAACTGACCAGACAGTGCAGTGCCCTCCAGCAAGTTCTTTCCAAGTAAAGTTGTGCTGTATGTAGCAGCTGTCCTGTGTCTGTCCTACAGTGTTGCCCGTCATAACACTGCAGCAATTACGTGACTCAAACACCAGTCCAGGGTTTCTTTTCTTACTCATGCACACAGAAACAGCTGTTACACTGCCATAGGGGTTCCTTTTCTTTGACACCTACTCGGCACAAGTTGTTTGCCAGGTACTTGCTGACACATTCATCCCTTTTTGCTGCTGCTGCTTTTTAGAGCTGAAGCCTGAAAGGCTCAAACATACTCCAAGCTGCAAATCCTGCACAAGTACTCTGTGCATCCATAGATGTGAAGACTTGACTTTTTATGTCACCTTTATGATTCCTAGACAAAGTTACTGTTGCATGGGGCAGCAAAAGACAGATCTAGCAAATGTGACTGCCATTGCAACACAGTGGTAAAATTTACCAACCAGCAATAGCCCTGTAAAAGGGGCATAGCATGCTATGTTACTATAGCCCCATCTCCACAAGGATACTACCAGCTGAACACTAGACACAATAACCAGGAGTACAGTCACAAATTTTAGTGTGCTCAAGCACATTAGAAGTACATTTCATTGTTCCACTTTTATGAACCACAGTATTTTTATCACCTCATTTAGAATTTAGCATTACCTGTCAGGCAAAAAACTACTCAAATACACAGTCTTCATTTATCTTTGAAAAAAACACCCTGATATTCCTCATATTATCTTACACATCTTCCTGTAAAGTAATTAAGGATCTTACTTGCTATGGGAACACCATTTGCCAACCAGCTTATACTAGGCTTGGGGTTGCCATTAGCTCTGCAGATCAATGTCCCATCTTCTCCAGGAGACAAGACCAAGTTTCTGGGTGCTGTTATCCAGTATGGGGCAGCTGGGGTTAGGAAGAGAAACATAGCAATTGTTTCCCAAAATCATGTAGAGAAAATCATAAGGCACAGTCATGGTAACTAGGAGGAAATTCAAACAATGCATGTATAGGAATAGACTTGCAATTACACTGTTAATTTTTTTTTAAAATACGTATACATATATATATAGTTTACTCAGTGATTAACTAGTGGATTATACTTTGTTTAAACTGAGCCATTGGCTATTCACTGAATTAAAACTCTGAGATAATCAACAAGAGGTTCTTTGTTTCATTTAGGGTTCCTTCCTTTGAATCTAATTTGTCTTTCCTAAAGAAAGGAGAATTTATTTGAGTATGGCATCTGCAGAGACTAGAGCGGTCTTTTGATTAATTTCAGAGATATCCATGCTCACAGCAGTTAGGCTGTTAGAAATGAACTCCAGTTTTATTACATGTCAAAGGTGAAATTTAGAAATGGCAAAATCCTCCGTCTTGCTGAATTCAATGGGTGATTGCAGTGGGGTCAGATGTTTACCTGAGACAGCTAAAGACATACAGGGATCACAATGAATGGGACACTGTCCTTACCAAAAGACACTTATCTATGTCTCCATCTCTTTTGAAATAAATAACTACTTTGAAATAAATAGCATATGTTATCACATCGTGCAAATAAATTTCAGAATTTGGATTGACGGACAGATGCAAACAGAAAATAAAACTTCTGCTCTTAAAAGGAAGTTGAATGTGATCATAAAATGATGCTGATCTACAACAAAATAAATGGCTATTTAGCATGCCAAGTAAGTACTACAGCTGATTATTTCAATGACTAATTAGCTGTCATTCCATTTTTTTTTCATGGTATTCAAAACATACTTACAATTCCTATTTGGACAAGCATAGTGTGTTTTTAGTACTAGTAAGACATCATCTTGAGGGAAAAAGAAAAGAATAAGATAGGAAACCAGAAATGTCAATTAAAAGAGGAAAAGGCAGAAGAAGATAATAAGACAATAGTAAAATAGAGATGAGAAAGAATCTGGGCTATATGAATGGAGAGCAGAAAAGAGAGAGAAAATAAGGAGATGAAGAAGTGAGATGGGGAGGAAGATACAAAAACAAAGGAAAGAAGCAGTCTAATAACAGATAATCAAAGGACCAAAAATAAACGTAGAACTGGCATAAACTAAAATGATTTTACTGCTGTCACTGTACAATCTCAGTTTAGCCTGATGCTGTACAAAATGACATATTAAAAAAGAGATTAGACATAGTGAAGTCCTTCCAGTGCTAGAATTCAGTCAGTTTAACGATGATTTCCTCAGGGTTTGGGGTTTTTCTTACCATTATCATTCTTCCTTTCAATTATATTCTGTCTTAGAAAGCTTACTTCAATCTTGCATTCTGGACACTGACAGAACTACATTAAGGATTAATTTAGTATTACCTTTCACAGTTACTGAAATGACATGATGAGCAGAACCTAATATATTCCTTGCTATACATTTGTAGTTCCCAGAGTCAGCTTCTGAAACATCTATAATCTTGAGAGTTTTCTTAAAGTTTTCAAAAAACGTTCTGTTGGCTGGCAGTTCCCCACCCTCTTTAATCCAGCGGATTACTGGTGTGGGTCTGGAGGAGCAAAAGCACAGAACAAGTTAGGGACTTGAGAAAAAGAACATGTGATTTCAATACATTAATGTTTTGAACATATGCTTTACAAATAATTATTTTAAGAGCCTTTACCCAGATTCTGGGACATGTCGAGCAAATGCGCAAAATATGCCAGCATTTGTTTCTAGGAAATGACAAGTGTCACTAACACTGTCAATGGCCATCTGTTCGTAGGCTTCATAATTATTGAATACATTTGTCTGCTGATTAGTCTAAAAACCCTGACGGTTAATAAACGAATACAAGTAATATTTCAAATCTTACTGCACTTATACTACTAAATTGATGCTCATGGTGCTATAGAAAGTAGCTAGCCTTTACATAATGACAAATTTATAATGGTCCTTTGTGTACACAACATCCTAATGCTTCATGAATGTCATAAATTTTACAGCAGAGTTGTAAGAAGACAGAAATATTTCCTACAAGAAATCAAGAATGAAAGATCAGTGCAGAGTCAAGTATAGCTTCTTGCCAATGAACCATGCCTAAATCTTCACTATGCCTCATGTTGTCCACTGAAGTTGGAAGTCGTCCAAATACATGGGGATATACTTCCAAAATTACAAGAAATTAGACAGTGTCGCTTACTGAGTAGAATTTGTTATCTCAAATAGTAATGACTCTAGGCAAATATTCCCTTAGCAGTCTAATCTCAGTTACTTTATAACAGAGACACCTACCAAAAAATTGACTTCTAATTATGGTATCAGTAATTAGGAATAGCTGTTTTAAACAAATTCTGACCTGTGTGGACAACTATGTAAGCTTCTCTCATTGAACTGTTCTTTTAGAAAACTACATGACAGCTAAAGACACAAAGACATATAACGTATAATATTCTATTTTTCCCCTGTTTTTATTCAGCCATTTTACCCGAGTTTGGATCACTGAATACTTGTATTGCAGAGCTGTCAAAAAGCATGTAAATTTATTGCAGATGAAGATTACCCGACCTGATGTTGCTGCTCCCACTCTTAGGTGTGGTTTTGCCAGTGGTGCTGATGCAGACACCTTAGCAGACCACACCTGAAACACTGCACTGGTGCTTGTATCAAGCTATGCCAAGCTGCACATGAGCGTGCCCTGTGGAGCTTAGGCAAGTGAACATGTGCATGATGCTGTGCTGCATCATTTGTGATTATTGGCTTTCCTCATGGCTACCTCAATGCACTCTGCATTATATGCTTCTGTGCACTCTAAAACATGTTTACAGTTCCTGAAATAGGTACTAAAGATTTTCTACTTCTGCATAACCCAATCTATTCTCAGATTTCTTTCCGACAATAAAACTTAATTAATTCATAACGTTAAATTGCTCTTTGGTAATGTTCTACCTGCATAATAACCAGCACAAGCAAACTTGAATTACATAGAAAAAATAAGTACCAATTAAACTCAAGTACAATGAGAAACTGGATGCAAGAAACTAAAAGTATGTTCTAACAGCTCCCACCTAGCTTATCTACTTGGTAATTATCAGCGTATGTAAGACCAGCAAATTCTTATCTACTTTTATGTAATCTGAGAGCCTAAGAATTGTAAATATAGGAAAAACCACCCCAGAGGCTGCAGATGTGTCCAAGTTTACCCCATGGCATTTCACAGAATCATAGAATAGTTAGGACTGGAAAGGAGCTTAAGATAATCTAGTTCCAACCCCCCCTGCCATGGGCAGGGATGCCTCACACTACACCATGTTGCCCAAGACTCTGTCAACCTGGCCTTGAACACTACCAGGGATGGAGCATTTACCACTTCTTTGGGCAACCTGTTCCAGTGCCTCACCACCCTCACTGTAAAGAACTTCTTCCTTATATCTAATCTAAACTTCCCCTGTTTAAGTTTGAAGCCATTACCCCTTGTCCTATCGCTGCAATCCCTAACGAAGAGTTGCTCTCCAGCATCTTTGTATCCTTTAAAAAAAACAATGGTACAACCTGAATCCCCATATCCTGGGGATATGAGATGGCAGAGGCCATACTTATGTCCACATTCAGTTCCAAAATCTGATCATGCCCAAGAAAATGGTGGGCACCCTTAAAAGAGCTCTTCCCATTTTACATTTCTGCTTGTTTTAAATACGTGTAGTAACTTTTTAAACATCTCTGGAATGTTTCCCTCTGTTTCTGTATTTTGATTTAGAAAAACATTGTCTACAAAGTAACTCACAATCCGGCTGCAATGCACTCCAACAAAAGCACATTTCCTCTGAGTTCCACTTTGGTACTTGTGCTACCTGTTGGTGTTAGCAGAACCGGCTGCCTCTCTGTAACTGGCCTCGCTGAAACAAGAAGAAATAAAATAATTCATTTCTAAATTCAATTTTAACACTGATCAAATACATACATCCATTCTCACATTTTGGACAGAGGTTTTGCTCCACATTGGCCGTTTAATTAAAAAATCATTGTGTAACACACCTACACAGCTCAACAAATTAGTTTTTTGACAGACATATATCAACCTGTTAAATGCTACAATTTTCAACACATACATGAAAAATGTTATTATTAAAGATTGGAGCAATTGATACATAGTTTTTACCTAGGCAACTATGCAGCCTTAATCCTAAACAGCCCCTATTCACTTCAGCAGAAATAATATGGAAAAAAAGAGGTCACTGATGGCAGTTACAGTGGAAGACTGGGCTTCCACCAAAACACAAATAAAGCAAAGTTATTGTATTCAGAAGTATAAACCAAACTGATAAAAGCTGCACTTGACTTCACAATATGCTTTGTTCAATATCTTCTAGACAATGCAAAGTGTTTTTTCAGAAGTCAAGCCTTGTATTCTCCTCTTGCTATATATTAACTTCAAGTCAAGCTGTTCCTCAGACTGGTAATAAAGAATCATTGATTACCCCACAAGAAATAACCACAGTAAACAGACAGCTATAAATATAAGACCCATTTCTGACATCATACTCTGTTGGCTTTTGAAATACTATGGTATTTCATGTGCCTTCATGGAAGTCGCAATAAGAGTGCTTTCAATAATAGAGTGCCTTCTGTAAATACTCTAATGTTCTTTTATAGCTATTTTAAAATATAGGCTTAAATTGCTCTAAGGTGCAATAGCAGTCTGAATCTTTACAGTAAATTATTGCATTTTTTAAAAAATGTGATCAGAAACAAATTCTTGTTTATTAGGGTACAAGATTTGCTGATAGATTAACATAAATACAACAATTTTAATACTGAATGTGCTGTGAATTTCTTAAAAACTAGAATACGAACAACTTAAAGTTGGGAGAAAAGGCTTGGCCTAGAGTCAAGATCGCAGTTGGTAGTCACAGGCAATAACTAATCTACCCAGTTTCAGCACTGCCAAGGACTGCTGATGCATTTTGCAAGTCTACAAAAATTCAGAAGAATTACCTCTGATACTTCTGAGCCGTGAAACAACTGAATGGTGTTTTTCTCACTAACTGTACCTGACATATCATTCTGTGTTCAGGTACATAGTCCTTGTTTGTTCCTGAATGACATCTTATTTTTATGGAGAGAACTAAAACATTCCGTGCCCCTGTTCTATTTTAGATTCCCATAAGTTATGGTTTAATATGTACAAAGCCTCATTAGACAAGGAAAAAGACAAAAATAGAACAAACATCATGTATTTTCTACCTATCTCACATAATATCGAGTGGAGAGTCTAGAACCTAAAGTGTTACAGTATCAGTATTGCTCCAAAGTCAGCCTCATTAAACATACATACACCTGTTTGGAAGGGTTTAATTCACAATATACAAAAGACCACTCAACATAGATTAATGTAAAAATCAGCTTAAACACCAGACAAACAAAACTCATCTTTCCCCTAAGAAGTTATTTATACAGCGAGTATTAAAGTGGTTAGATTTTAATTAATTCCAGTTTTACACTTATGAAATATGTTAAAAATGAATGGTACATTCAATAAGCTGTTAAATGTGAAGTGCATCTGTTAAATGCTTAGTTGTTGTTGTTATTATTATGCAGTGTGTGATATTGAATAGTCCTAGTGATAATGAACACATTTACTATGTAAATTGGATGAAAAATACAAAAAAGCAACGTAGTACAGCAGCAATCAAATAGGCAAGTTTTAAAATCTGCCCCAGTGTGAAAGGACTCATTTATTACAAGAGTTTATATTTTTTATGAGCCATATGTTAAAATAACATTGAAACATTAAATACTTCTAAGGATCACACTGTGCAGTCCCTTTCTAAAGTATGAATTATCACCAGCACTAATAGATACCTTTATTAGAAACTGAAAAGGGAGCAAACGGTTAAGAGGCCATGGAGGTGAAGTTAGTTAAACTAAATGCTACTACGAAACAGGGAGTATCAGTGGGGACCAGTGTAACTCACCACCATAAATATCAGTGTCACTCAAATTAGCAGCTATAGTGTCATTCAATGAATCCACTGAAATAAACAGAATATCATGAAGAATGCATACAAGAGGGATAAATCAAAGTGCTCTGGGAATCAAAAGGTGATGATATGGCCACGGCGAGTTAATCAAATGATTGATTAATTTGTTTCAATAGTAACTTGATATTCTTGGATACGAAAACCATCTGAAAATTATTTTCTTTATACTGTATTGTTTCAATATTTCTAATCTTACAAAACATTGTTTCAAAAGACAAAGCCTTATAAAGGGAAAAAAAATTACAGCTTTTAAAAGAATTATATGTCAGGCAAACTGGAGATTACTTTTTACAATTATACAGAAACATAATTTCTTATTCAGAATTAAAATGACAAAATTCCCTAGCATAACATTACTTCAATTTGGCAAATAACTTGACAATTCTGGATAAATACTATGTAAGTATGTAATTAGGTAATGCAATACCTACTTGAAAAGACTTTTACAGAAATGGGTTGTTTCTGCTGTATAGTTTGTGTATGATTAAATCTTGCATAGCAGATATAGTCCTCCCGAGTGTCTTCTGGTTGCACATTAGAAAAATAAAGGTCTCCATTTAGACCTTGGGAAACTCTTTCACTTTGAGGCAGCCTTTGGAAAGCTAAGGAAAAACAAGAACACATTTATCTCAATTATAATACACACTTCATCATTACGATCTGCACATTCCTCATTTGCTCGATTACACTGTTTGTGGGTTTGTAACTACAGACTTGCAAGTTTCCTCGTGAGCTACCTTGTCTTCCCATTCTTCCCCAGTGGGTTAATATACAATTTACATTAAGAACTCCAGCTGCTTTTGGCTTCATACTTTTGGACTGCATGTCTGCTTGTTCCTTTGTTTCTACAGAAATTGAAATTCTCCGAATTTTAACTTAGAGGCAAGCCCCACCATCAGTGGTCTTGGTATGCAATGACCAACTATGTAGAAAAACTGCAAGAAGTAAACTGAAGTTCTGCATAAAACCCAAACTCACCATTATCCATCCAAAATATTATAGGTGGTGGTAAGCCAACAGGAGGTCTGCAGTGTAGTACTAATGAATCACCTTCTCGAACCTGATTTGGTTCTAGTTTTTCTTTTGTCCACAAAGGGGATCCTACAGAAAGTCATTTTAACACACATAAAAACTAAGGATTGACAAAAATTCCAGAATTTAAGGAAGAAATGTACATAATCTAGAAAAACAGAAGAAATTCATGCATCAGAATGTTGAGTCTGATCATGCTTACTAAAGATTTCATTTTTGTTCTTTGAAATTTTTTTCCTGTGAGAAAAGTAGTGTTTCTTTAAAATATTTTGACAGCAATGATTTGCTGAAAGTATAATCAATGGATTCAAATTATTTTGGCTACCCAGTAAAGGTTCTGTAACAGTATTAGTTTTAACTATAATAATGGGGAGGGGGAGGGGAAAAAAAGAAAGCTATGCTCTAAATTACAAAAAAAAGAAAACCTTAATGAAACAGCATTATACATACAGTTTTATTAGAACATGTGAGAACAGCACATTTCAAGCTGAGAAGCTTGAAAAACTGATCTGAGCTAAAAAGCTGTAGAAACAGTCTACCATTAATCACAGTTTTTTAGCTTTATCTTCTTTTTGGTCCAAATCTGTTCTGCATTAAAACTATTATTAAAACTATGGAGCAAATTCAACAGAAAGAGAATAAAAATTGTCTTCCACAGTCAAATGCATTAAGGATTTACATTTTTTATTCTAATTGTAGAATCATATACACAACCCAATTTTAGATATGGTAAATCTTCCAGACATACAAAAAAAAAAAAAAAAACCAGGAAAGTATTTTGCTTATTAAATTTTCTAAGGAATACTAGAAAGAACATGCAATACATTATTAAATCTGAATATCAGAAACTATACAATACTATCTATTTCTTCGATAATTAGATTTTTAAGACAGGGAAAAACCCTCCCACATTCATAAGATAAGCGCTCTAAAGTGTTTCACATTTTATGAACATTAAAAGCTTCACTTACTAGAGGGTCTTATTACAATATTGTTGGAAATGGCTGCTCCTCGTTCATTCCTTGCTGTACACTGGTATACTCCTTCATATGCTTCTGCCTTCCCACCATTCATAATATTTATGACAAGGGTCCCTGAATTTGGTTTCATTGTTACCTGTGCATCTTTATCTATATCAAAATGAGTTCCATTGCGTGTCCAGGAGAAGCTAAAATAATCAAAACAAAAAGAAAAGTTTCTTCTTCAGTTGCTTTTTGCAGATTGTATGTAGAGAAAGAAGGAAAAAGTAATTTTCAGTAATACGTGGTGTTTTTTCTTTAGCAGATAAGTAAGACTCGTTCCCAAACTAAATTAACTAATAAAGAAATAGAGCGCTTTTTAATATCAGAAATCTGGCACTGCTTTGAGATAAAAGGCTTGGCTGAACTTGCTAACAGGAGCCATTTCAAAGTCAATATTTAAAAGAAAAAAAAAACATTAAAAAGATTCTGAAGTTAATTGTATATGGAAAAGAACTGATTTTCTTTCTACTAAAGATGATACAGTAACATCTGCACAAACTGATATTGCTAAAGCTGCATTAGCATTTCCATTATAAAACCTATTGTTGAAAGGGTTTATAAACCTGCCTTTAAAAACTTGCTCTGGGCTGAAATGTGTCATCTTAGGTCCCAGCAGGAGACTATTTCTTTAATTGGTTTGGCTGTTTTAAAGTTATGCAAGTGAATTAAAGACTGTGTGGTGAGTTTGATTTCTTTTCGCTACTCTAACACAAGCAACCATGATTCTTTAAATTAAATTTTGCAGTCTGATAGCCCATAATTACCCTAGTAAATTTATACTGGTGTTACTCAAAACAAGAGATGCTTTGAAAAGTAGTCACTAAAAATTAAGACTTAGAACTCATAAAAAAAATGTAAAAAAGCAGAGATTCACAGTCTCCAACTTACACTGCTATAAACACTACTTACTTACTTACGCTTTGTTAATGGTCAAAAGTATAGTTACTGAGACCTAAACCAACACCTGTGAAGTGCTGAGCACTTACAGGTTCAAATGGTATGAACAGCAGTTTTCTTACTTGTTACAGCTCATCTTTGTAGTCTTAAACAAAAACACTATCTATGCCTGCCAGTTAGAATGCTTCCTAAAAGTAGAAACTTGTAAGGTACTGCAAAAAATCATATTCTAAGTGACTCAAACTGTGTGCTCACAATTAGGATTTTATTTCTGCAGTAGGAGGGCAGTACTGGACATGCTATTTGTACCTTGTAGCAGGGAAAAGCAGAAGAACTGGACCTGACCAGCAGTACTGCACCACACTGCAGTGTTTTTGGGAGGAAGAGCATGCATAGTGAACCAACAGTCAACCTGCTCCTTGTGACCTTGCAGATGAAGTTGTGGAACATGGGGTTTCTATAATCCTCTGCAAGCAAAAACTCTAAAGGATACAGAGAACTGTCATATAGCTCCAAATAAGAAGTGGCAAGTGTGGTACAACCCCCTGAATTTGAGATTACATGGAAGTCAGAATCTTTGCTTCTTGAGCTACAGGTAGCAGCACCTCCATAAACGTTTATGTCAGTTGCTCTCACCAATAAGAGGTTACCCTGCTTTAACAAAGAATTCACACTCCAGGCTGAGAAAGTTTATCTTCAACTTCAGAGCTTTGAAGCAGCTCAAACTCCAAGATGCATTTGCAGGTCATCAAGACTGATGGATCAGCCTAACTATTGAAATAAATTATTTGGATGCCATATCTTTAAAAGAAGCAAAAAGAAGCACAAGTTTATAAAATTAATCAGAAAATTCTGCACTTAAATCCTCCCACTTCCTCTGTAACAGGCGAACAAAGTGAGATGCAGGTTTGATGAGGAAGAAAGCTGCACAGCCACAAGTCCTGGCACATGACTCAGATAGGTCAGTCTCACAGACACTGCTCTTGTTCTCTCAGGTAAATAAAAAGGCATTCAAGAGAAACACCTGCAGAAGCAGTACAGTTGTCCCAAAGTGCACAATAACCCTTCAGGACAACACCCAGACTCTTGAGAATGTCACTGTGCCTGCTAAATTAAAATGCTGCTAAACACAGCAGCTTTATGTAACTCCTACCAGTAACAGAACACCATAAAGGGTGAGAGTATCGCAGATAATATCCGTCTCCATTCTGCTGCCCAGCACAATAATGACCATGATCCCAAGGAAACCAGAAGGAATAATGTAGAAAAAACCCTGGTTATTCAGGAGAACTATATTTAATGAGCTCTGCGTGTGTCTGAATGAACAGTTATAGACTGACCTTGCTAGTAAGTTGTAGCATAACACTGATAGCAAAGAGATGAACAATTCTCTTCATAGTCTCTGAAATCAGAAGCAGTTAACTAGTAATACCACAAAGTATCACAGCTACTACTCTTTCCAGTGCAGGAACTCAGTACCTTGAAATGAGTAGTTTTCAAATATTTGAAGACACTGAAACAGGGCCTTAAAATGGAAGATGATCAGGAATCTGATCTATACACAGGGTTTCCATTTCTGCCAAACCCAAAACTTAAGGCTATTAAATACACTTGCTAACTTAAAGCTACCAATCACTAAAATTGATACACATTACATAACTTTGGACAAAATGCTTATGTATTTCAAGATAAGCCTCATAAAATGGAACTATTTACAAACCATTAGATTTTCATTTATTAGTATTACTGAATTTATTCAGTGTCCACTCTTCTTAGATACTGCCTAACTCTGGAATATGACTGAGTTGACGGTATGGCACACCTCTTAGTGCTTTCCATGCGCATTTACCTATCTGCTCTTGTAATAACCCAGTATTTTTTTGTTGTTAGAGCTTTGAGGGGAAAAAATAATACAGCTGCTTGATGACTATAGAAAAATTTAAATGTCAAGTATGAGAAGAGCTGAATTTATGTCACTATCTGGTAGCTGTTTAAATTACAAAGGTAGGAATGAGTGCATGTTTCTGCATGTTCAAACACATACATATGTATATACTTGTCAGTTTACAAAATTTACATTATTTTCTCCTAGTCTTCCTATGCTGTTAGGCCAACAAAAGCAAAATAAAATGCTACTAACCTAGGAGGTGGTTTTCCTTTTGCTTCACACTGTATTACGATATTCTCTCGAGGGTCAACAATGTAATCTTTTGGAGACTGCTGAGTTATCGTAGGAGGTTGTGACACTTCAATATAAGAAACAGAGAGGAATTTAACAATATTTTCAAAAGTTTAAGGAATATCATTTCTATACATCAGATTTCAACATATTTCCACAAAACCAAAGGACACTTGCATTCTAAGTCCAACATATCCTGAATGAAGAATTGTGAGACATACATATACACAAAATGTTTTTTACCACACAGAAGGAAAAAATACATCACTTTGTATTTCTAAACATTTTACGTATTTCCAAATTCTCTATGGGTGTAAACTTTTCACACATTTATTTTGCTCACCATATTGAATTAATCTACAAAGCATACTTTTAGAAGCTACTTTTCAGGAGTAAAATATATGTTCTAAGTAAAAGACTCTGTAAAAGATGAAAAAAGTAGTAAACATGTAGGAAAAGCCTAGTACTAATTCTCCTTAAAAAAACCCAAACAAACAAACAAAAAA